AGAGACTAAACAATCCCAGTTCCCTCAGCCTCGCCTCATAAGTCATGTGCTCCAGCCCCCAAATCATTTTTGTTGCCCTCCTCTGGACTCCCTCCAATTTTTCCACATCCTTCTTGTAGTGTGGGGCCCAAAACTGGACACAGTACTCCAGATGAGGCCTCACCAATGTTGAATAGAGGGGAATGATCACATCCCTCGATCTGCTAGTAATGCCCCTACTTATACAGCCCAAAATGCCGTTAGCCTTCTTGGCAACAAGGGCACACTGTTGACTTCTCGTCCACTGTAACCCGTAGGTCCTTTTCTGCAGAACTGCTGCCTAGACATTCGGTCCCTAGTCTGTAGCAGTGCATGGGATTCTTCCATCCTAAGTGCAGGACTCTGTACTTGTCCTTGTTGAACCTCATCAGATTTCTTTTGGCCCAATCCTCTAATTTGTCTAGGTCCCTCTGTATCCTATCCCTACCTTGCAGCATATCTACCACTCCTCCCAGTTTAGTGTCATCTGCAAACTTGCTGAGGGTGCAGTCCATGCCATCCTCCAGATCATTAATGAAGATATTGAACAAAACTGGCCCCAGAACCGAACCTTGGGGCACTCCGCTTGATACCAGCTGCCAACTAGAGATGGAGCCATTGATCACTACCTGTTGAGCCCGACAATCTAGCCAGCTTTCTATCCATCTTATAGTCCATTCATCCAGCCCATACTTCTTTAACTTGCTGGAAAGAATATTGTGGGAGACGATATCAAAACACGTCCACTGCTTTCCCCTCATCCACAGAGCCAGTTATCTGGTCATGTTGTCACTTTTTTAGAGGCTGATATTTTGGCAACTTCCAGTAGTAAAAGCAAAAGGTGGAAATACTATTTTCAAAGGTCTGATTTGAGATGATCTGTGTAACTCACTCGTGGCTTTGCTAATTATGAATACAGTCATCACAAACTTATGCCAATAAAATCTTTATACCACACCGGAATGTTCTCTTCTTCTCTTATAAATATTTAAAGTATTCCTATGTACACATTTCTTTCTTTTCCCTAAAGTGGAAGTTCTCCCAGCCTTCCCACCTCCCTAATGCACACTGGTATGAAGTGCAGGGCTGGCAATGTTTGGTCTTTGAGAGGTGAGATATTTAGAGTCCAATACCTCCTGAACCGACAGGGATAGAAATGGATGGTTAATACCATGGGGAGCTGGTAATCCTCTCCATTGGGGTACAGTACTTGTTTCAGGCCCTCAAATTACAGACAATAATGAGCCTTAAACTTCCAGCTCTAGGGTTTATAGTGAAGCTTTCTAAAACTTATTAGTTACAGAAGCATTATATCACACTAATGTTATGTGTTATAATTGTATTACATTGCATTATGTATACACAAGTCTCAAAAGGGTACACAATAACCTTCCTTTAGAAACAGAAAGGTCAGAACTGTGTATACAAGTGTGCTGGGAAAATCAATCTCATGTTCTTTTGCTATATTTTAAACTATATTATGGTTGATGTTTAATGATTTTCTTGTAACGTTTTTGTGTGCTAACTTAACACATGAAAGCTCCTTTAAGTGCTTAGAAGCTGAGAAGCTGTCTTTAATTAGTTTGCCATGTGTATATCATGGTTAACTGTGATCTTGCCATGGAAGGATGTTAATCTTTTCCTTTTTCATCCCTCTCTAATTCAGATTGGCAGTTGCACTAATCAGATGGGCCAAATTGCAATTGTTTCATTTCAAAACTCCAGTCCCAAGGTTATTGAGTGCTTCAATGTGGAATCACGCATTCTCTGCATGGTCTACATTCCAGAGGAAGAGAAACAGAAAGAGTTAAATGTGGCTCCAGAGTCTGAAAATATGGCTACGAAAACCTTAAAAGTGCCTACTGTCTGCCTGGGCATGGAGGAAGGAAGGTGATAGTCAATTTCAACATATTGCATATAATTTACTTATTTGTTTGTTTATTATTCTGCAATAATAGATTATCCATCCAATGCGACGTGCACCTTAGAAAATCATATTAAAATGACACCTATGAGTAAACAGACCCATCAGTTGTCCCAAGATCCTATCACATAACCCAGTAACAACATACATGTAATAAAAATTAACCTCCACACACAAAATTTTTAAACTTATCATACATGGGATAAAAACCATAGAGACTAACAAACACCTCTGAAGAAAAAGGATTAATTCCTTTAAATAATGTAATCTCTGTAGGATATAAGTACAGATTTTTAAGGATATTACATCATTCCATCATTTTAATAATCGGGCGGGGGGGGTTGAAAATGATGAAGTGCTGTTAGCAACACGAGAAGCAAGTAATTATTTACCTTTTATAATGCTGCATTTGCAGGATTTGCTAGAAATTTTTCATGCTAATAAGATAAAACACGTTGATGTTGTTTATTATGTATGAACTGAGTCTTCATTAGGTCATCTCTGTACAGTAGTGGCAAACAGAAATAGGTTTATGTGAAGTTGTTGGTATGGTAAGCAAAGGATGGTGGATGTAACTATTGAGAATGTAAGTATGAGAATTTGTGTGCTCTTCCTGCCAGTGAAAATAAGTGACTACTCTTTCTATAAAAATAATGCTGTATATTTTCTAAATTTAAAGCAATAAAGCATAATCAGACTAGTTCTCTGCATGTGTAAACTGCTGTTCATGCCAGACCTACCTATTTACCTATCATTTCTGGCATACACATCATGATAGTATATAGGTACCATGACAAAGAATTTAAAAGTAAATTGATTTCTGGTGCTGAACTATTTTCTTCTTTCTTCTGTCAGGTAGGGCTGGATCCAAAGCTCATTGAAGTCAATTAAAAGACTTCACTGGGCTTTGAATCAGGCCCTGGAGAGGTACAGCTCTGGGTCTGTAAGAGGACAGTATCTTGTTAAAAGGAAGGTCTCTCCAGCTGAGGTGAAGTCTCCCTAATGCAAGGAATTTATTGTTTGGGCATAAAATAATAATGAAAATGACTAGATGAACTACATTTTTTAGCATAATAAAGTACCTTTATTTTTCTCCAATACTTTTATTACCGTAAAGCCTGTTGTGACCTTTATAGTAAGAACTGAACAAGACATATTTACATTTTTCTCATGTGGTTTTTTTTTTTGGTAGCATTTCTATTTACAAGAGTCATCAAGGCTCAAAGAAAGTCCGACTTCAGCACTTCTTCACCCCAGAAAAATCAACGGTTATGAGCCTAACGTATCTGTCGCAGTACTTGTTTGCTGGTCTGGTTAATGGGAACATTGCAATCTACACAAAAGCAGAAGGTAGAGTAATAACATCCTGAGGAACTCCTGTGTCAATATATTTTGGCAGAAGCAGATTTCCACTGGTCTATTTTTCCTTTCCTGAACAGCTTCTGAATTGAAGTTATTACAGTTTGATGCAAACATTTACTTTTGAAATGTTTTCTTTATAGACTTATGGCTTTTGTTCTTTCCAAAGGATGGTGTGTGCTTGGCTGTTAGTCCTGATTTATTATTGTTATATCAGTATTGTTATTATGCACATTATGTTCTCCGTCAGAGTCCCCACTCAGGATCAGGTCCCAGTTGTACTAGCTACTGTAAAATACATATAAAGACAGTTCCCTGCCTAGAGAGCTTACTATAGGTGATAACAATCAAGATACTGTATTTAACACAGTACAGATGCTAATGTCAATCTAGTTCCCAATATTTGAGACGGGAATTGGTTTCTCTTTGCTAGCTCTTTTAGCAAATCCAAATTGAAATGGTGACTAAACTGTGCTCTCCTCTCTAGATACATTGCTCATGCATCTCACAAAGAGGCCCCCCTTTCCTATTGATATCACTTGAGAAGGTTTTAAGGTATGGTTTAATTTGGACAATGGGGAATCCAAAACAAGAGGTGTGAAGGATGCTTCTTTCCCACCAACTACCATGTTCAGCCCAGTGGCCCCCTCTTTGTCTCCCTCACTGAGCTCTCTTTTGGACTTTGCTCCAGGGAGAGCTGCATTAGACCACAAGCCCTTTTAAGAATATTCCCCCAACTGAATGTCAGGCCTGCTCTACATTACATTGTTAGGTCAGCTTAACTACATTGCTCAGGGCTGTGAAAAATGTCATGCCCTGTGCAACGTTATTAAGCTGACCTAAGCCGTGGTGTAGACCCTGATAGGTCAATGGAAGAATTCTTCTGTCGACCTAGCAAGTGCCTCTCGGAGAGGTGGATTTACCACAGCAACAGAAGAACATCTTCCGCTGTGGCACTGTAGCATTTCTACTGCAGGCTTACCCACAGACAGGGAAGAACCTGTCCCTGATGGAGCAAAGTTGTGGCCTTGATCATGCTCAGGTGCATCCCACAACATCATTCTGATGGTCTCAATCGCTATATATGGCTGTAGGGCTGGGGACAAGTTGTGAATTGACAGTCTCCCCAGAATGTGCTGGGTTTGAGCAGTGATTTAAAACTACAGTTGTCTTCGCACAGCTTCTTCCAAGAAGGATGCACAGCTTCTTCCAAGGAAGGGAGTAGAACCCGTTTGTAGGCAAGAAGAGATGCAGGGATTCTCTGAGATCCACATCTGCAGAGGCAATTAAGGGAAGGACAATGCCCTTAGTCAGGGGCCAGTACTGTACAGCATAAAGAACTTATCTAACAATGATTGTGTTCAAGTTACCTGAACCTTTGACATGGAAAATCTACATGCAGCCATTTTTGACTCATCCTGCAGTGCCTTCTCCTACAGCTTGCCTCACGTCTGTTTTTACAGCTCTTCACGCCTAATAAAAAAGGTTACCAATCATTTGTTTCCATATTAGCATCAATTTTCCATATAGTTTGCTGCTGTGGTCATGTGTAAGACACAGTGTGCTTATCCAGACACAGTCAGCCCTGAAGGAGTGTTGTTATGAAGCACTGACCTATTTTACCAGACAGACGATTCTGAGCTGTGGAACGAGAGACACGGAGAATGTGGCCTAAGTATTTCACGTAATTTATCAGCACAGAATCAAAATGTCACCTTTAGTTCTACACTGTGTTTCATTTTCCAGTCACATACATCAGTTCAGTGTGCTAATAATTTGATGTATATAGATTAAAAGAGAAGAGGGGCAAGACTGAAAAGTGAAATATTGGATATTTTCTAGATAAAAGCAGCTTGCTACACTGTAAGACATTCTTACCTGCATGCCTGTATTCAGAGAAAGGCAAATGCTAATCCCAGTGCACATTTTAAGTACCGTAATTGGGCAGTGCACTGGGGAGTTCCATGGGGTAAGAAAAGAAAAATCTTTCTTCCAGGCTGCATAGCCACTTCGCAGCTGCTTTTGCAGGTTCAATCCTTGTTCCTTCCCACAAAAAACAGAATGGGCAGTGGATGTGTGTAGTCACATATCCACCAGGTCTGCCTCATTCTATTTCCAGCCCCAAAATGAGTCTCACCTGTCCCACTGCTTTCATCTGGTACAGCTTCAAATTGGCCAGTGTATACAGATGCCCATTTGCATTCCTGCAATCCTGCTCCCCCATTCTTTGCACGTATAGGACTTTTACCCATTGCACTACAGCCAGAGCACACTATGGCTGTAGGAAGGGGGGCAGGATTTGTCCCAAATTGTTCCTTTAAAGGGAAATTTAAACGGCATGTTTAGCAAACTGAGGGAATGTGTATGAGGCGGAGGAGGAGGACTGGGGAATTTTCACAGCCAAACTCCCTCACTTGCATATTTCTGTATGGACAACAATGTTTTATGTAACTAGACAACCATTTGTCAAAATGTTTTTACTTCCCCATTGTAAATCAACTAAACAGCAGTAAGTAATAAAAGTAAAGGAACATGGTCTTCCTGAAATCTAATCAATTTCAAAAAGTGAGCTATAAGTAATTTGAGGTACTACCTGTGCCTCAAACTTCTTCTAGTTTATTTTCCTGATGTTCTGTGAAACAGCCACACAGACAAAAGGATATTGTCCTAACAGTCCAGTCCTATTTTCCATATGTGAGTAGTGTTACTGGGGAAAAAATGAATCTGCCCATAACAAAGCACTATTATTATAAGCAGCGTAGGTAGCACTGCTTGTTATTAAGGTTGCCTGACACTTCCCATTATAAGACCCTGTTTTCAGTTGCTTATAACTTTGCCAAACTTTAGCTGTTCGGGCTGAAATTTTACATGCTGGGTATCTGACTGAGGCTGATTATTATTTATCTATTTATTTTCTGCCAAAACAGTTCAGACATTACTGAGAACAAGGTTAAGGAAAAATACATCATTTTGCCCAGGCTAAAAATATCTGTGACTCTTTCTTGAAAAGCTTTAGCTCCTCCATACTTTGGAGCAGAGACTTTAAATATGGCCAGAGGGTGGCATTTCTGACAGGGATGTGCCTTTTGCCATCCTCGTGAAAATCCACCAAAATTTGACCAAGTTATAAGCCTTTGAAAAATCACGGCTTGCACATGCTTAGTAGAGACTTGGTAGAGCTTGGAAGATTCCATTCATTCCTGGGGCTGAGCAGGACTTTCCATCCAATAGCAATTGCCGGCTGCTCTGGGCCATACTAGGTCCAAGTAAAGGCTGGGAACAGAGCAGGAAGCCTGTCTCTCTTGCTCTTTCAATGACCCCGACCCTGCTGGGCCCAGGCAGGCTAGAGGAGGAAGCTACCTGTTTGAATGTATTTGGGAGAGCCTGGTGGAACAGGAAAAGGATATGGGATTGGAGGCTGGAGGAGGAGGAAAGCAGCGACTGGGAGTTAGGGAGAGATTGGGACTGGGACGTGGAGCCAGGGAGAGAAATGGGGTTGTAGGGACTGAAAGCCAATGGGTGGAGGAAGGAGACTGAGATCAGATAAGGAACCTGGGGAGTGGAGATTGGGATTAGCTAGGCAAAGAGACTAAGACTGGGAACCATGGGGTGGGGGGAGGGAAGACAGATCTGCAGAAGAGCCAGGGTAGGGGTGAGAACTGGGACTCTCTGGGCACAGAGGTTTGGACAAGGAGTGTGAGGGTGGCAGACAAGAAACCTGGGGAATAAGAGAGAGACCCAGTGGGAACAGGGACTGTGTGGGATTAACTGGAGGTTTGGGGAGGGGAAAAACAGATTGGACAAGAAGTCAGGAGAGCGGAATTGGAAATGGCTGGGCAAGGGGACTGGGAATGGTGGGGGGGTGAAAGAGTAAACATTTTTCCTCTTTCAGTTGTCATAATTCTACATGTTAATGGTAATAGTAGGTAGTAAAACTATTACAGTGTTTTGATTTTCAAGTTGACAATGTTACTTTGAGTTATTTCAGATATTTGAGATAAATGCACCAGGCGCTTAGCAAAGTTTTGCACTTTGCTTTGAAATTCATGCTTACTTGCTTCTCTTTTCTAGTTTTTCTTTTCCTCATTGAATGAAAGGTCAAAATTGTTAATCTCATTTGTATTATTACTTTGTGTATTGGCTTTATATCATTATTTTTGTTGCAATTGAAAGGACACTGTAAAGTAGCATTGCACCAACCTATGTGTCTTATGACATCTAATGACATGTGCCAGTCAACCATTATCACTTTTTTTGATAGAATTACAAAATGAGAATTAGTGGATGGAGAAAAAGTGGTAAATGAAATATATTTTTTGATTTTAATAAAGCATTTGGTACAATGTCTCAGTCTTACAATCAGAACTAATCTAAATCCACTTGTGTATGAAAATTCTCAAGTGGATAGGAAAGGGACTGAAGGACCATAAGCAAAAAATTATAATAAATGGCCAAGTAGGAAGTTGAAGGGAAGGGTGGAATTTGTAGTGGGTTACTGCTGAGATCTGTATTAGGTCAAGTCTTTGACCCCATTCCTGCTGTATGATTTAAACTAATAGGGCTCCACAGGATGCAAATGCAAAGGTCATTCATGCAGATCCAGCTGCAGACCTGAGGCCTTGTCCGGGGGGAGTAAAGAACCCATTAAAGAAACAGTGATGATCCTAAACTAAGAGACGCTATAAACACCAGTATAAAAAAATCATACAAAGGAAAGTAGAAGCATGGCCAGAAGATACTATTAAGGTCCAACTTGGGGAGGAAAAAAAAAAACACCTAATACATTTGTGAGATAATTATGCAAAACACACATATTCATGGGATGCAGGCAGAAGAAACTTGGAAAGTAGAGATATGGGAGTGATTGAACAGCCATGCAGATGTGTTAGCTATGAGATATGGTAGCAGAAAAAGGTTAGTGCTCATTTGGCTTGCATTCCCAGAGGCATAGTGTCTCAGGACAGGAAAGTAACACTCAATTTTTATACAATTTAGGTATGTTGCACCTGGAATATTGTGTTCAGTTTCAGGCATTTCATTGCCAGAAAAACATTGACTTAGTGTATGGAATTCAGAGAACAATAGCAGCAATCATCTGGAGACTAGAAATATTAACTTATGAATAAATAGTGAAAGAGCTTAGCTAAGCAACCACTAAGTAAAACCATGATAACAATCTGCAAACATTTGCAGGGGATTAACACCAAGGAGGATGAGGTATTATCTTGCAGAGTTAAAGGGGAATATAACTAAGAATAATGGGATGAAATTAGGAATGGGACCATTTAAATTCATAACAAACTTCCTGACAGTGAGACCTCTCAGTCTGTGGAATAGACTCCTAATGGAAGCGATGGGAGCCCCCTTTGTTTATGAAATTTAAACCTGGACTGAACAAAATACTATCCACTGTACAAGGGTGATGGACTAGCGGTGGTACTGAAAAGATAAATACTATTATCCTGGTGTTGGGAGTATGTCCTTTCCCTACAGGAAATACCTTGAATACTGCAAATATTGAGTTAGTTACCTAATCTTATTTACTTACCTAACGCAGGTACTTTCGGTGCCACCTATGTGGAATTAGATAAAGTCTATGACTTTTTATATTAGACTGGAATCCTGCCATTTGATCTGCAATATTGGTTCATATCTGGAAAACATTGTTTACTGTGCTCACATGTGCAGCAGAGGGTTTTCCTCGGCATATGAAGATGCACTCTGTATTCAGAGGAAGGCAGGGATGAGCCCTAAAATAGTTATCCCCAGGTGATGGGAAATGTGCTATTATTTGCAAACATCATTTTGCTTTTAAATCCTTTGTCCTATCATCAAGAAATTAAATAAATCACTAGCCACTGTTCATATACCACGTGATATAAAAATGTTTGTGCTCCACTGCACAAATAAACTAACAAACTCTATTCCCAGGGTTGTGCTGGCAGCATTATTGAAATCATCAGTGGTGCTGCTGAGTAAGACAGGAAGTTACCAAACAAAAAGATGCATGTTAAGTTCAGCTCAGTTGATGGCACCAGGAGTGGGGCGGTGGAATGAATGCAAGCTGTAAAAGGACATTTTGACAGGGAAAGTAATTTTTTAAATCATGTTGTATCATACCAAAAACAGAGAATAAAACTAAACTATACAATAGTACAGTTTGCCTTCAGACTATTACATGGGGGGAAAAATGTCCTCCCACCCCAAGAATGCTGTTCTGGTCCCTGCTTTTCCATCCCCACCCATCCACTGGGACCCATGTCTCCCTCCGCTGGGAATTTCTCTTCTCTTACCCATGCAATGCATGAATTGGTGATGCCAGGAGTCGAGTTCTCAGTGGACTCTGCTGTACAAAAATAGATTCCCTGTTCACCGGGTCACAGCCCCATTTGGCTCAGCTGCCCCTCCATCAGAACAGAGGGGCGGCTGGGCCAAATTTGAGTGGTGTTATAACCCCATGCGCCAGGTTGCAA